GACTCCATAGCTACAAATCAACATTTTAACATCAGTTTAGAGCATAAAATAGGTATTTGAGGACACTTATACTATCAAAACAGAGCCCTAAATGAGTCGAAATCTCGAACTCATCAACACCCCCAACTTAAACTTTTGCTTGTCCTCAAGTAAACCTCAAGATCATCAATTCAACAAGGATTACTACAAACAGTGCTGCATAAGACTCAACACAAATGCACACAACAAGGTTCAAACTACTCATACCATGATTAATTGTGCACTCAAAGTTTCAAATTGTGACTCACCATCATAAAGTATTGTCAAGCTCACAATGCTTACTTCAAATGCAAGTTCAAGCTCAACAAAAGTATTCAAATTCCCCCACAACAAAGATGATTCCATATTCACACAAAAATTCTCCACCATTTAAAGTACCGGAATCACATATAACACTCACACTCACACTCACAAAGATTAACACATGCATGACTTCACCCACAGGTTTGCCCTTATTTTCCTATCAACATTCGTTTCAGCTCACTCAAGATCACAAAGGTCTTTTTAAGGTTTGTAATGGGGCTAAGTGTAAAGGTATGGTCTTTTAGGATTAATGCCTTATAGTTTCATGAAGTATGGCAAGAACATCACTTTCTTCCTTTTTTGTAACATTTCAAACATGCTCATAATCCACCCCATTATTCAACTTCATATGAATCACCGGATACCCCATTTCTTTTGCAATTTTCACAACTTTTTCTCTTTTTTGGTCATTTTCGCTTCTTTTCTTTCATTTCCTTTTTATTTATTTTACATGGAGGGGTTCCATCTTTTTCAAAACAATTGATCAAAAGGGGGAATTATTCACACTTCTTGACTTTCCTTCTTTTTCACTACACCCCGAACTTAGGCTTTTGGCCTAAGTTGGCTATTCAAACATACCAATACTTCATGAAGATTATGGGTGATGGGATAAAATTGTCAAAGTTGTTCAAGTTTCTTCAAAGAAAATGATAGGCTTAAAATGTGCCAAGCAAGGTTCACACATCTCACAAGGGTGGCAACAAAAGATGCATATTGTCAAATTGGTTCACTCTTAAAAATTACCGCCTAAGATCATTCCATTTTCTTTCTTCACTTCAATTAATCATACCAACGGGGCAAATTCTAGGTGTCTTAAAATACAATGTTCAAGACTACCTCACCACACAAGGCATTGATATAATAATCAGACAAGACTCCACACTTTCTAGCTAGCGTGCAATGTTCATCACAAAAGACTTCACTGACAATCGGCTAGTCACAACAAGATGCTCAAAGTTCACATATTTCCTATGTGACTTTGTTTACCTCATCGTTGCCGCACATCCATTTTGTTCAATTAAGTTCACTATTCAAGTCATCGGTATTAACCACAACCGACACTCAAATTTTTACAAGAACAACCACAATCACACACACAAGAGGTGACAAAAACTAATTTTAAAATTGGTTCAAAACCTCTTTCACATCAAAACAATGGGCCACAAGCTAAGAACATCCGCAATATCACAACCAAGATATCTACAACACAACAGGCTCAATATGCACAAAAACATCATCAAAATAGAATTAATATTCAAAAAATAGTCACAAGAGGTAGGTATGGAAATACCTCACCCCACCTAGCAAAATAAGTAGCTCTCCTCAAATGTAATTAAAACAAAAACAATATATAAAATAACAGAGAGGGAGGGAAAATGTCATCCTGCCAGGCTAAGCATGGGTCCGTCACTCCATCTGTATGGGCATCAATGTCCGGGGTATCAGACATATTTGCTCTACTGGAGCGCACCATAGAAACTCACTCAAAGAGGCCTAAATAGATGAATCTACCATGGCACCCTCAAGGGCTGCCAAATCATCAAAGACAACATCCTCATGAACACTAAGCTGCTCCTCCTTAGTCTCAGCCTCAGACTTAGTAGCAACAACATCGATAACATCAGCTCTAACCTCATCTCCAGTGGTAGCCGGAGGCACCTTATCCCAAGGTAGGCTGCCTTTTGGGTGGCGGAGGATAGACTCATTTTGAGACGGCATGATCGAGCTGCTAATAAATACAAACCAATACTTAGCCACCTCATTAAGATCCTTCTTCTCTATCGGCGCTTCATCCACGATCCACCTCGGGGTAATGTCAGAAAGAAGAGGGGCCAGCCAACCTTTGAGGTCATCCAGAGTCTTTGCCATGATCATACTCTGGTATTCATGCATGAGGTTGGTAGCCCGCTCAAACACAACATTTATATCATCGCTATTGCATTTAACCATCCTTCCTCGGCTCATCACAAAGTCCACCGGTTTGAAGGCACTAGCCTTCTTCTTCCCTTGAGGTACCAAATCACCATAAGCGGAGTAGAACTCCCGGACCCATGTAGGAATGTATGGGTCACAGGGCTTGGTGAAGACCTCAAATCTATGGAACCTGAGGGTGTCCCACACTGCTGGATACCTGTCCACTACATCATCTGTGGACAATCTCTTCTCCTATAAGATGGTCCTCAATCCCTCGACCTTTAACCAGTTGAGTGACCGTGGAGGAGAACCCTATATTGGTGGCGTTGGGACCACTATCTTCTCTGGAGCTAGAGGAGGAGGAGGAGTCTGATCTACCGGGATCCTAGACGGATCATGCGTCGCCTTGGAGCGAAGCTTTGCTCTCAGAGCTTGCAAAAATTAATTATCCTTAGATTTAGAGAAAGAAGACTGAGAATCATAAGATTCCCCCTCACTGCTGGAGTTGTACTCCAGTGTCTCAGCCATGGATGCCTTGCCCTTTCCTTTTACTAAATTTGAAGGTAGCTTTGCAGCCTTAGTCTTGGAAGCGGTTGCTCCCTCAATTATAATAAGTTCTCGTGACGGCTTTCGGGGCAGCATGTCAGTACCAGTCATATTGGTTCTAGTCATTCCTGCAAATAACATAGAAAAATGTTAGAAAAAGTTCCAAAAAAAGTGCAGAAAATAAGATGTAGGAGGACTCGTCGAACCATTCGGTGAGTCGCTGAATCACTTTTCTAAGCCACATGAGGCTCGCCAAAAGTACCAGCACAAAAATTTCACAGATTCAAAGCTGGTTGGTGATGTCCAGGGCCATTTGGCGGATCGCCGGCACCATTCGGCGAGTCAAAGGTAGCTCACCAAAAGTGATAGTACATTTCAAGGATTAAGGGCGCAGAAAGGCGATCAAGAAGGACTTTTGGCGTGCCGATGATATACCGTGAGTTTAAGGTATTTTTAATACATTTCACTTAAGATTTGTGTGTTTCTAGGGCCATTTTGTATTAGTATTAATGTGTTTTTATCATGTTTTCAGGCAATAAGTTTTGACGCGAAAGTTGAGAGACATAGCTGAGAAATGTATAGAAAAGCCCATCTACGGATGTGATTAACGGACCATAGGTCCATTCACATTTCGTAGATGATGACCGTAGATGGACTAGAAAGGCACAAAGGAAGATCATGGAATCCTTGACCAAGTGTGGAACCACGGTTCCAATCGAAGGACCGTAGATTGATATACAAACTGTACTGCTAATCCGTCAAATGATTCAGAGAGGGGTTCCAATACCTGATTTTGAAGATTCTAAGTATAAAGCAACGGACGAGGATCCACGGACCGTAGATCAATCTACGGTCCGTACTGGTGATCTGTCATTTTGTTCAGAGATTTGAAGATTTTGAAGTTTGAAATTTTCCTAAGTCCTAAATCACAGAAGGGACCTACGGACCGTAGATCAATCCACGGTCCATATGTACGTATCGTCGGTCGAAACCGCTTCCTGAAACATTATTTCCTTATTTCATTTCCTTTTTGGTGAGGACTTATTTTTCTATATATAGGGAATGTAAACCTCGTTTTTGGGGGCTAGACTTTATTACTTTTATTCTAGTTCTTGACTTTGGAGATTAATTTACAACTTTAGCAATTCTTAATTTCCTAAGTTAATTTTGAAGATTTTGGTTTGGAAATTCAAGTTGAAATTCTGGGTTTATCATTCTCATTACGTAAGTTCATGATTTCTTCATCTCAAAATATGAATTGTGTTCTTGCTACTATGGGTAACTAAATCTACAACTAGGGGAACCATAAGTGATTAACAACATAGGAATAGTAACTAAGCAATTCTTGAATAGTGTTATTGCATGCATTGATATTTCTTTCATTTAGAAGTCTTTTTAACGAGTGCACGTGTTAGAACTCGCCTTGTTGATACTTGTCGGACCAAGTTGGTAGTTAATAAGAAAAGAATTATCAACATAGATTTAGTGTGATACTATCTAATAGTCTAATGTCGATTGGTGCGAGGGTGAAAACTAAGCCATACAATGATGTGATGTCTAATATGAGTTAGTTAAGGGTTAGTAAATTATAAACACGTAGCCGGACCAAGGTGCGGTGTGAAATTCTCTAGTTGCCGGACCAAGGAATTAGAGATGCCTAACTTATCACTTTAAATGTAATACAGTAGGAAAGGATTGCTATTACTTGGATTACCGCGTTATGAGATTATGGGGAACACGTACACCCTAGTTACTTTCTCATCTTGATAACAAATAAAGTTTGAATCTTGCTCACTAAATACTTACATATTTCCTGAATTTGTTTCACAAATCCCCACCTTTAATTACTTGTTTTCGGAAATACATTGACTAAACGAATATAATCGTCTGTTAAGTTTATGTCTAAACCATATTCCTCGTGGGATTGACCCCAACCTATAAGTTGGGTTCTTTACTTTATAACGATCGCTTATGCTTCTTTAGGGAGCTGTAATTTGATCGTATCAAATTTTTGCGCCACTGCCGGTAATAAGGCTTTTAGATTAAATTTAACTACATTATTGAACTTTAGTCAAATATTTCCTAATTTTACTTTTTCTCTTGTTTTTGTCTCTTTCAGGTTCCTACTCTAGTGTATGCCAAGTACACGGAGTCAAGGAGAACCACTTACTCCCTACGATCCAGAACTGAACAGAACTATGTGGAGAATGAATAATCAAGGAGTACCCGCTAATCCTATCAGAGGAGAAGTAGGTGATGGTGTTGGGTTACAGCCTCCAAGGGTTGGTGATGAGAATAATCACGTTCAAGCTGAGAATCTATTGAGAGATGAAGTGCAGGTATATGATCAACCAGGGACAAGACTGCATGATAACTATAGGGTCAACTTTAATACTGCTGATTATGACGGACCTATTGTCCTACCTCCTTTACCGTCGAGACATACATTTGTGGTTACTAGCAGTTTGATGCAGATGCCTATAGCGAGGGGCTTGTTTGCGGGTGTGGCATCGGACGATCCACATGCTCACATAGCCAAGCTAAGGAGTGTTTGCAAAATTTTTGTGGGTCGATCGGACCTGGACATGGATGTTATTGGATTGCGAGCGTTCCCTCTATCGTTGACCGGCGATGCTACTGTGTGGTTTAATGTGCTTCCTTATAATTCAATCTACACATGGAACCAATTGAGAGATGCGTTCCTAGCAAGATTATTTCCAGTGTCCAAGAAGCTGAGCCACACAGATAAACTCAATAATTTTGTAGCACTACCTGGAGAGTCTGTGAGTAGTTCTTGGGACGGGTTCACTACTTTCATAAGAGGTGTTCCGAATCACCATATTGATAATGAATCGCTAGAGGAATATTTCTACCGAGGTCAAGATGACAATAGTAAGGCAGTGCTTGATACTATCGCTGGGGGTTCATATGGTGAGTACACTTTTGAGCAGATTGCGGAAAAACTAAAGAAGATCTCTTGGAACAATAAAGCTTGGCGCACTAGAAAGTCGGATATTGAGAGGAACACATTTGTCGTTCAAGCTACAAACAACCAGTCGGTAGATGAAATTCTTGAGGAGATGGCTCAGATAAGGACCGAACTGGGGTTGGTGTTGAAGCATGTGAGCGGAGGTGCAGAGAAGGTAAATGTAGTGAATTATTTGACTAGAGATCCACCACCGGTCGAGGAGTGTTACTATGAAGAAGATACTTATACGGTGAATGATCAGATGGTGGGTTTCCGACCAAACACTCAAGGTTCCAATACGGATAATTGTCGCCAAGGTCAAGGAAACCAAGGTCGGAACTATGGCAACTACATTCAAAAGTGTCAATATGTCCGGGATGGGAACTACAATCGCGACAACAACTATAACTGGAACAACTATGGTAATGGGAATGAGAAAGTTAGGCCCTATGTCCCTCCTAGGAACAGGGAATCTGGCAATAGGGAAGCTATGGGTAGTATGTCGTACGTTGAAGAGATGATGCAAAAGATGTTGAAGAAGTTTGACACTACTGATCAGAATGTGAAAGAGATGCACACTAAGTTGTCCGAAATTGGCCAGAAAGTTGATGCCCATGCAGTGTCGATAAAGCAACTTGAGCAGCAGTTTAGTCAGTTGTCTGCTACTATGAATACACGCAAATCGAGCATGCTTTCCAACAACACCATCCAGAATCCGAAGAATGATGGGCATTGTATGGCAATCACAACTCGCGGAGGAAAGTGGACTATTGATCCCCCCATGACATCCGATGTAGAAAGAGTGGTAGAAATAGATGGTGATAAGATTGAGATTACCGAAGAGACTAAAAATGCCACAGAGAAGGAAGCAGAGATAGCCCAAAAGCTTGTTCCGATGCCTAGACCTCCACCTCCTTTCCCACAGATGTTAGTGCAGAAGGCTGAAGAAGGAAAGTACCGCAAGTTCAGAATTATGTTGAAACAACTTTCCATCAATGTCCCTTTGATAGAAGCATTGGAGAAAATGCATGGTATGCAAAGTTCATGAAGGACTTGGTGACCAAAACGAGGGCTGTCAGTTTTGAGAATGATGAGAGGTTGCAGCTTTGTGGTGTTATTTCTACGAGGTCACTTGTATAAAATAAAGAGGATCTTGGAGCTTTCACTATTTCATGCACCATCGGTAAGATGCACTTTGCAAAAGCTTTGTGTGATTTGGGTGCCAGTATTCACGTGATGCCATTGTCGATTTATAAGAGGTTGGGTTTAGGAGCTCCAAAACCAATTGCGATGCATTTACTTATGGCTGATAGAACTCTAAAAAAGCCCATTGGAGTGCTTCAAGATATCCTTGTGAAAGTGGGGCTGTTCATTTTTTCGGAAGACTTTGTTATACTTGATTGTGAGGTTGACTTTGAGGTCCCCATCATCTTAGGGAGACCATTCATTGCTACTAGAAGTGCCTTAGTTGATATGGAGAGAGGGAAGATGAAGTTCCGACTGAATAAAGAGGAGGTGACCTTTAACGTCTGTAAGTATATAGAGCAGGAAAGTGATCTTACATCGGTATTGGTGGTGAGTCACACTTTTGGAAGAAGTGCTGAATTGTTTAGTAAGAGGAAGTTAGGTGCAGCATTGCACACAGAGAAGAAGTGCCATGCTCAACAGACAAAAAAGAGAAAACTAGCTCCTGGTGATCTGGTGTTGTTTTATAAATCAAAGTTGTGCTGTTTTTCGGGCAGATCCAAGTCCTAGTGGACTTGACCATTCAGAGTGACACAAGTGTCCCCACATGGAGTGGTTGAGCTCGAGAAAAGGAGTGGGACAAGGTTCAAAGCTGACCAACGGAGGATAAAAAGTTACACGGGAAATTCTGAGAAAGTAAATGTAGTGATAGAGGCATGGCATCTTGATAAAGGCTGAGTAATCAAGGGGCCTGCGTCGTGCCGCGACGTTAAATCAAGTGCTTCTTGGGAGGCAACCCAAGATGTAAAATCTAGCAAACTATAGGTTTTTCTTTTCGATTTAGGAGTTTTCTTCGTTTATTTGAATTTTTGTAATTATTTAGATATAAAAACTGATGCTCAATTTGTTAAATATTGCCCTAGAGTCGGAACACATAGTAGAAGCATATCTAGAAAATAATGTAAACTTGAATGCATACTCCTTCACACTCATATTTCCTTGAAAAATGTTGCTGAATTCAAGTACATTTTCCTCCCTCATCTCAAGGGAAAAAAACCTATCAAGGAAAGCAACCATAAGCTTTTCCTAATCAAGATGACAAACATCAGTCGCCCTCATTTCCTTTTATTGGTTGAACCGATGTTATGAAACACCCTTAAGTTGATAAATGACTAATTTTCCACCGATGTCACTCCCATGATCATCAAAATCTTATACACCTCATCAATTAACTATTGAGGATCATCCTGAACCTTGGACCCATGAAAATCTGGGAGATTCATCTTAATGAAGTCCCTCAATCTAGTTGTCGTCGTACTAAAATTTGAGTTCATGGAGACACATCACTCCTATTGGCTTGAGTCTTCATGCCTTGAGACAAAACTTGAAAACCTGCTAAAAACTCCACATTAGTCACTTGTTCAGCCAAAGGATCGGTCGAAACTTTTGGATCCTCTTGAGGAACTTCTTTTTCCACATTTTCATTCACGTTCCTTCTCACGTATTCTCTTCAAATGGCCATATCCTGAAAATCAGCAGATACAGATTAGGTGAGAGACATATAGGTTACACTCCATCGCACGACTTTAGAATGATGAAAAAAATGGGATTTCCTAAATATCTTATAGCCTCTCATTAATAAATAGGGCGCACTTCACATTCATGAACAAGACTCTACTTAACGTGTCCTATGAGACTTCATAGGCCTTTCTAAACTTTGTGATCTGAATACAAAAATTTTCACAACGGAAAGTATACCCTAGGTGTGACATGGCATGTAGAATCCTGAGAGGCCCTACATAATCCACTTAGCATACATCATACGAGATAATAAAAGTAAATAGTTCAAATGATATCATTTCACATTTTAAAAGAGTTTGACAAATGTGGAAGTCTAACATAAGTCTCAATAAGCCATCTAATACATCATAAAAAAAAAGATTGGGATGTAACCCATATATATCATACAAAGTCTTAAAATTGAAATGACAGAAAGCTAAAGAATGTATCTCTGTCCTTGGAACACGAGGACTCACAATTTTTCAAAGTAAATGGAATCAACTTACCACAAGTATAAAAGGTAGGAGTGTTGTACCCAGTATTAGTGAAATAATGAAGGAACAAGTATGCATTAGTACACAGATTGTACTAAGTATGGGGAAATATGCATAAAGATTAACATAATAGCATGAATGGCTTAAAACATGTACGCATGATCATTCTTTGATTACTTAATGACTTTAAGAAGAAATGACATGTGAATCATGAAATATGGTCAAATACCTTAACATAAAGGACAAAAGAAAACTTTGAAGAAACATATTCATTTTGTGGGATATTAACTTTAACCAACAATAATACCATGACAGCTATATTATTTAATATGATACATCCCTCATGCATACAGAAGGAGAATCTACTTGCCAATGTGGAATCCATAGATATCATCATTTTCTAAAGTTGAACCACTAGCTAGGTCATTTAAGACAATCCTATGGGTAACACGTAGTTTGGGACTAGAGGTTGTGAGTAGAGACTACCCTATTTGAGCCTCCACCTGAAAGACCTCAAGGTGTTAAGTCTAAATTCCTAAAGAACTGATAAAAGTAAATTATCAATATAACATAGGAAAGACAATAATCAATACCAATCCATATACTTTTAAGATCAAAACATAGAATAGCCACTTAAACATAATTCAATCATGGATGAGAAAACCTTTCACCAATGTGAATTTAGAGGTGAGAAATACCTTTCAAAATCATGATCATCATAGTAAGTGATAAATCCTTATACAATAACATTGATACTTTTCTTTCAAAGCATCTCCATATCATTTATAATCATCTCATAAAAAGATGCATATCTTCATATTTCATACCTTATGGATTCATGGCTTCATCATCGATTCGTAGTTGAAAAACTTGATTTAGGCATGGGTCAATGTAATTTAAATTAAATATCATTTATTAAAATTGACTCATGCATTTGAAGACTTAATGAACAATAATCAATCAAAATTCAATGAAACGCACAAAGATTGAATTGAAACCCTAACTTAGTCAATTCAAATTCAATTGATGAATTAGAAACCCTGCGGACCCCATGGAAGAATGGATTCCATGGGTGAATACCCATATACCTTGCTATTCAAAGCCCAAGAATGATGGTGAATTGAAGACTTGAATGGAACCCTAACTCTTCTTCTTCTACCATTGGTTGAGAGAATTCTGGGAGGATGAATGTGGTTAGATTTAGGGAAATAGGAGAATAAGGTTGAAATGGGTTGTTTTATGTCCTAAAAAGCTTATATAGGGCTCAAGGTAGAAGAAAAAATGACATGGTTTTGATTTAAAATAATTAGGGAAAATACCCAGAAGCCCTTGAAAATAACTATCGAACCCTCTCTGCGGTTTGGACATACTTTGTACGGACCGTACTTGTAAAATGTAAAAATCTTAGAAACCTTTGTTTTGGACTATATTTGATGGATCTTGTCTAAGAGTCGTAGGTCTCCTTACGGACCGTAGAAACCCATTATACTCATTAAAATATCACTAAGTTTGGGACCTTCCAATGAGACCTATCTATGGTTCGTACATGCGATGACGGGCCGTACTGCTGAACCATAGAAAAGGTGCTGGGACTTGATTTTAAAATTTTACTTTCCCTCTTCCTACGGTTGCCATCTACGGCCCATAGTAGCTTCTACGGTCCATAGATAGGACCCATACTACTAGACTACAGCTCGAAAGTCATTTTCTTTCTTTTCCCAAATCCGAGGTGTTACAGTATCAATGCAACTTTTTCTAAAGCTTGCTGAACCAAAGTTGGACCTAACAATTGCGCTTCACCATGTTCAAACCATCAGATTAGTGATCAACAAAAGCGAACATATGGAGCCTCATATGGCGCCATATCTATACTCGATTGAAAGCTATTATTATAAGCTAACTCTGCCAAAGGCAACTTATCATTTCAATGACCACCAAAATAAATTGCAAAGCTCTAAGCATGTTCTTCATGATCTGAATAAGTCGTTCACATTGTTTGTCAGTTTGGGGATAAAAAGTTGTACTCAACTCAACTTGTGAACCCAATGACTTCTTAAAAAACATCCAAAACTTAGCTGTGAACTGCAAATCTCGATATGATATTATAGAAATAGGCACCCCATGAAGTCGAACTATATCTTGAAGGTAAATGTTTGCTAACTTCTTCACGGTATGTGTAACTAGAACTAGTAGGAAATGGGAAGATTTTGTGAGTCTTTCCACAATCACCAAAACTAAGTCATGTTTCTAAAATTATTCGGCACCCAACATAAAAATCCATAGTAATCCTTGCCCACTTCAAATCTAGGATGATCAAATTTTGCATAACACCACCTAGTTTGTGATGTTTATGTTTGACATGTTGAAAATTTAAGCATCTAGGTACATGCTTCAAAATATCATCTTTCATTCCTTTCCACCTGTACAATCCATGAAAGTCTTGATACATCTTCGTAGAACCTGAGTGGATGTAGTATCACGAACTATGCCCCTATACAAGTATAAGCTGTTTCACATCACCCAACATGGGAATACTCAATATTCCATGTTGATGTAGAAGTCCCTTCCCATCAATAGAGAATGACTTTACACCCCCATTTTGCATTTGATCTCATAGTTTAGCAAGTTGGGGATCGTAATATTGGCAAGTTTAGGCTTCTCCAACTAAGGATGATTGCGCCACCATACCTTAAACCAGTCTGCCAGGCAATGTATGATCAATTCGAACTCTCTAATTGGATAAAGCCTGAATATCCATAGCCACATGGAACCTTTCGGAAACAATCCAGGCAAAGCTACCCATAGACTT